CCTGCTGTTTCAAGTTCATGGGTATTTTCTTATGTTATGTTATATTATATTATGGCTTCATCTATCTACTTTGGTTCTGTACATAAAAAGATATGCTAACAGAACTGCATCATTGCTAGAAGAATTGTATGTACAGAAAATAAGCTTTAGTGGTCTGTATAAGGCACTTATATACTGGTATAATGATTTCAGGAGATCTCTACAAGTTGTAAACTATTTTGGTTAAAATAAAAAATTGCACCTGAATAGTTAAAAACCTGATGCCAATCTGAAGGCTCTGAGAAGCCCTGTACCTTTGCAGTTCTTTAGATATTAGTAAGTCTGAGGAGTTTGGAGGTGTAAGACTGTTTGCAGACACAAGTTGTACCTTTTAAATAAATATATTAAATTAGAAAAATCCCTTTAATGTGAACACAGGAAATGCAGTATGAAGTTGCCTTTTTTTTCTTTACAAGAAGGTTGGTATAAGTCAGATGCAGCTGTGTTCTAATTATGAGCTTTTACCAGTTTAACTGTTGAACAGTTTAAATGTGATAAAATATCACATGCCTAATTTATAATAATACAAAACCCATGTAAAAGGAGTTAAAATAGTTTCATTCTGTCCCATACTTGTTTATGATTTGGGAATGCATTTTCCTCGGTTATGCCAACAGTATTGATTGGAGGGAAGTAATCCCAACAGATGTCATTCTTGGGGTGTGGTCCAATAAATGCAAAAAATGTTTGATTTACTTTTTCATGCATTTGAAACACTGGCCCTCACGGACAGCACACTAGCTAATCTACCCTAGGTGTTTAAAGTGCTATAATTTTTGGTTATATGTGTGGAGTCTGTAACAATAGACACACAAAGATCTATTTATAGAAGCAACGTGTTTATATTTAAAAAATCAAACAGAAAAACCCTTTTATTTTCAGTAATCTCTGTTCTATAGAAATTATTATAGACTTTGGGTCTCAGTGTTTCTCTTTTTTACAGATATCAGTATTACCTGCAAGTGAAAAAGGATGTTCTTGATGGTCGATTACGTTCATCGTTAGATCAAGGAATCCGGCTAGCTGGCTTAGCTGTGCAAGGTGAGTTAGCTGTTGAGCGAGGCTAACAAAGTTGCCTTTTTAATTTCAAGTATCTGTTTGCAAGAAATCAGGTCACATCCAACTCATGTTAAAACTGATTAGTCATTCCACTGATTTTAGTACAAGTGAGATTGGGGTTTTTTTTGTGAATTACTTGTTCCTGCAGGTATAGGTAATGGGTTGTATGGTAGCTCTCATATGATGGGTATTTTTTACTCTAGCATAGGATTTTGCTAGATTACAAACAAACGCAACAATCCAAGTGGGGGTGGGGGGAGGGGTTGGTTTTTTTTAACAATACTGAAGTACGTTAGATAATATATTCACATTTTCTTTTTGGTGTCATTCCCTTTGAAGCCAGAATAACAGTAGGATATAATTTGTACTTTAACTGAAATCTCCCTTTGCTATATATGGCACCTCGTATCAGAAATACATGAGCACTTGTTGGTGGCTATGATTTGTGGGTCAGTATTAATTCACAACAATTACATGACTCTCAGAAACAAAAGACCTTGCAATGCAACAGGTTCTTGTGCCATTTTGAAGTCTGTTTTGAAAATTTGATCCCTAAACAGCCTTTAAATTCTGGCTCCGCTGGTTTGTGGAACAGTGGTTTTGGAGTGGAAATTTCTAGAGCTTTGTTTTTGAACTCTTGGGCTAAGTACAGACAGTCAAAAAAGCCAAGGCTGAATTGATTCCATCTTTGCAGGCTAGTTTAAGCTGTGTAGACTGAACAGATAAGCAAGTGAACAGACATTCACTATTGATTCCAGAATGCTTGCTGTGGCCCATGTCAGAGGCCAGGGCGTGCCGGAGCACGCCTCCCTGCTCAGCTGGAGCAGACAGCTTGAGCCAAGACTAGCCGACCCATCCTGCAAGGGGGAGTGGTTGCTGGGGAGGCAGAAAGCATCCAGGGATGCTGGGGGGACTGTGTTAACTTGAATCTGGAGGGGATCTGGGACCAGAAGTTCACTAAACCGATTTAACCTAAATCAATGAATTCTGATACTACACCCATCCAGGTTTATCTTAAACCAGTTTCAGCCATTTTGAAAGTGGTTTATGTTCACTGACTTCTGTTGCGTTATAGATTTTAACTGGTTTCTGATCACTTATACCAGTTAGTGTGTAATTCTGTCCCTCGCCTTGCAACTTCTGTTTCTACTGAGTCCAATGGTTAGAACAAGGAACTGGCTGTAGAGAACTCTGTATAATTTCTGACTTCCACTTATCTTTTCTACACCATTTACAGGCTTTTTATGGACTGATTTTTTTTTTTCAGAGTTGCTGACTATCTGTCATTACCACTGACATCAGTGGGAGTGGCCAGTGCTCAGCAGCTTGTAAACCAGGTCATTAGCACCCTTTGATCCTCATCTTTTTATCTATATTATAGAAATACTAGTTACCACCTGTTTAAATCGCTTTGAATTCCCAGGATGAAAACTGTTAAATGTGTTGACAGTAGTACTGTAAGAATGTTGATATAATCTTTGCTACAATTGGTGGAAAAGACATTATGGTGTCCATGTGAGGATTTTAAAAACAAATGGAAAAGTAAATGCTAATATTTCTACTGAATGAATATTGCTTTGAAATCTGTTTGTGCAATGGAAAAAGACAGATTTGCACTAAACTTTGCATTGTGGCTTTGTGAAGTTTTCCAAAGTATAAATCTGAGAACTTGGTGATGGACACACACCAGACTCTGTTAGCCTTACGATTTGGGACCTTTTCACTAGCTTTATGATTGCCTCACTCACCATGTAATTGTCCTTGATGCTGCCTTTTGTAACTCATTTATTATAACCACTTTTTTCTGTAAATTTTCTACATAATCTGTTATCTTGACAGGCAGCCACATCAGAAACATACTCTGTTTTTTGTTGCTTTATTCATAACATTATCATGCTCTCTCTCAACCAATGCATGCAATCCAGTAGAAATACTTAGAATATACTCAGGATCCCCCCCTTTTTGAATTACATGTTTGGTTAAAATAACTCTGTGGTAAAAACAAAACAGTTTTGGCACCCTGTAATATGTGAAATTATCTAAACACTTTGCAAGAATGTTTACCTAATGTAATTTATGAGGGGGATTTCCAGCTTTTATAACATGAAAATCTTTTAGATAGAATATGATCTGGTTCAACTGAAATGAAAATCTCCCAGAAAGTTACTCCTTAGATGTCAGTTGCTGTATATTTAACAAGTAGAGGTTTGCTTTGTTTTTAAAGAATTTTAGGAAATTGGTTCCTTAGGCAGCTAACTGAGTTTCAGAGAGAGCCACTTAACAAGTTTTGGTGAGCTGTCAAGGGCTGCATACACAAAATATTTCAGAATATATCATTTTAACAAATTATAGATAAAAACATATACTAAAATTAACCATCTACTATAAAATTTTTAAATTTTATTACAAAAATATTTTTGTCCTGTTTTAGGGTTTTTTTTGAGTAGTGTATATAGAGGTGATTGTATAATGTCTCAAAATAAAGTCTTATTCTTATATATTATGTGTGGGGAAGGGGGTGTGTGTAGGGTGGGTGTGTGCATGCGTGTCGGGGTGGGGGGGGGCTGCCCACATGCTAGGTCCTGGGTGCTGGCCGGGAGCAGGGATGGAGTGGGAAAAAAGGGGCAGGTGCAGCACACCTTTCCTGGGCAGTGCAGTTGCAGGTACAGGTGACGTCCATTTCCCCCCCCCCCCCTTGGTCCAAGGCCACCCCCGTGGCGCTTTGGATGAGGCTGAGCCCTCCCAGGGCAGCCCACATCACTCTCCCATCTGCACCCACCGTGTGCCCACTGATGGCACAGCCCCAGCCTCAGCCCCTACCAGGTTGCACAGCTTCCTAGTGGGCCTGCTTTCACTGCCGCTGCAGCTACCCAGGTACTGCTTGGCTCCCCTTACCTCCAGTAGCTCCTCTTCCTCCTCCTGCCTTTCCTGCACCAATTTAGGTGAAGGGAAGCTGCACCTGGGCACCTCCTGCCCCAGGGCTCCAGCTCCTGGCTGCCTTGCACCCATGCAACCACCCACAGGTGGCTGCTCATCACACTGGGTGGGCAGAGTGAGTGGAAGGTGGGTGGGAGCTAGAGCTCTGCACGCTGCAGCAGGACCCACCCGCTGCAGCTTCACTCCACCTAGCCTGGAGCAGTGCAGTAGGGGCAGGAGGAGGAGGAGCTGCTGGAGGCAGGGGGAGCCGATCAGTACCCTGGCAGCTGCAGGAGCAACCCCACTGGGAAGTTGTCCATGCTAATAAATGCTGGGGCTGGGGCAGTGCCATTGGTGGGTGCTGGTGGGAGTGCAGCGCAGGCTGCTCAGGGTGGGAACAGGCACAGCTCAGCCCATGCCAAGCGCTGCAGGGGCAGCTGTGGGCCAGATACAGTTATCTAGTGGACTGGATTTTGTCCACTCCTGTTCTACAGGCTACCTGTTGGTGTTTTTTTCCTAAATCTCTGCTAGTCATTGGCACTTAATATGTAACAAGTAGTAAAACTAGATAGAAGATGTCGGCCTCTTGGGTTGTTAATCCAACAACTCTACTATGTTGGAGGAGGGTGAGCATGCATTAGATCAGAGGGAGCTATGAGGAATATGACCAGATGATCTCACCAGGATCTTTGTGGAGTAGCAAGAGCCTCATGCAGGCATTTGTCAGAAGTGATCTCTGTACACCAGCTGGGTATTGCAACAGAGACTGGCCCAGGTGGGTGGGGAGGGAGAAGTTGTTCCTGACATAACTGCATAGACCAGCTTCATCTGGACCTTTATGAACATCAGTGCTGGCCTGAGCCTGCAGATTAAAAACAAAAAACCCAACCTGTTCTAAAATTTGTTTCAGTGCTAAAACTTGGCTTTTACGGCTATGATACTGAAAAAATGTGGCTTAGGCGAGACAGCTCACACACTTAAAATTAAGCATGTGCTTGTAAGACTGAGTGAGGCTTTAATAACCATGGAAAGTACTGTGTTAAAAAAACCCAGTAAATGTGTTGTTTTTTCCAGCGGATTTTGGAGACCACAATCAGTTTGAATCTCATGACTTCCTCCGAGAATACATCTTGTTTCCTATGGTGAGTTGTATTTTTTTCTTTTATTTCCTAGTCTCACATGAGTAATTTCTCTGTGTCTCAGATGCAGGCTTGTTGATAGCTCAAAGGTGTTTAGTTATTTTTTGTTGGTTTTTTTTAATGACTAAAATAAGCATGGCCTCCATAGAGATTTTTATTTCATTGGCTAAAGGAATACACGGAACATAACTTTAACCCCTTTTGAGCCAGATTTCTAATTACTAAAGCTATGTTTATATAGCCTCTGGAGTGAGCCCAGGGACACTGTTGAAAGATGCCTATGCGTCCAGGTGTGCTTGATCCCATGGCCCCAGCCAGGGAGATGGCTGAGATGCCTGCCCCTTGACTGTCTGGAGAGCCTGAGCACTGTGCTGAAGTGCGTGTTGAGTGTTGCTCAGACACTCATCCAAGTCCTTCTTTGTTGCCTAACATGTAGGCTTGGTTGCATGTGGAATGGGGGCAAGTGGCTGATATTGATCTTTCAGTGGCACTTGGGCTTGCTTTGAAGGCTGCCTAGGCACTAGGAGCAGGTTTC